CTGCGAAGTGGAGTCTGTGCTGGGCTGCGAATACAGGGATTGGTGGCCCAACTCTACCACTCTCCCCTTCAGAGAGAGAAGAGGCTGTCTGCTCCCAGAAAGATGGACAGTCTGAGAAACCCTAAGGAGTAATTCCAGTCTGCCCTGTAGGGTGGCTGTGAATCAGCAGTGACTAGATGGCACTGGGTGGGGTTTGGTGTGAGGTTTGGTCTCCCCTGAGTGGGGAACTGAAGATGAGAAATTGTCGAGGGCTGGCACGGCAGGTAGAGTCACTTGGGCAGGTGGCTCGGGATTGTGAGAAGAGGACCGTTATGAGACCCAGACACGTTCAGCTGGAGGCAAATGATGTGACCTCCGTGTCCTCACGTCCGGAGGACGAGGTTCAGGAGGTATTGGATATGTCTCTCAGGCTCCTTTCTGTTTTTCACATCGATGCGTCAATTGCGGGGATGACACAACTCTCCCCTCATTCTTCCCCTCACCTGGGTCCAGGCTTGTAAATATCGAGAGGCCTGTAAACTCAGAGCCTGCGGGGATGGCTGCATCTGTCTCCCCTTTCTGTCCCGAACGTCCTCGTTGTGGTTAAGGCTAGGCCAAGGGCAGGGGTGGGCAGAGGGCCCTGGGTAGTCCACAGGCAGGAGCACTGGGCCCTTGATCTCTGGGCGGTAGACCAAGCTTGGGGTTCAGCTGGGGGACAGCGACTCAAGAAGTGTCAGAAATGACACCTGAGTTTACTGACCACATTGCTTGTCGTCAACATGGACGCCATTGGCCTCTCCCTGTCCCTTCTCTCCCCTGCAGACCACGCCTCTGAAGCACGTTTTCCCGTGCAGGGCCTCACTCTTGCCTCCTCCTCAAGAATGAATGCCAGGGTCGAGTGTAATGTATGGGGAGACCCTCACCTCCTTGGACACCATCTGGGCAAAAGGTGCCACAAGGGACCCCTAGCAGGGGGAGAGCTGAGGACCATGGCGATGGGGTGGGGTGGCGTAGGAGGGTTGGAGTCAGTAAGATCTGGGTGCAGAAAATCCTCGCTCTGCCAAGTACTAGATTTATGACCTCACACAAGGTACTCTGTTCTCTGAGTCTCTGTTTCCAGTTTTTGTTAATACTTCATCGATTTATATTTCTATCTCTATTCCTGTCTCTGCCTCGATCCCTACCTCTGTCTCTATGTCTGTGTCAGTCTCTATCTCTATCCCTGCCTCTGTCTCTGCCTCGATCTCGTCTCTGTATCCGTCAGTCTCTGTATCTGTCTCTATTCCTGCCTCTGTCTCTATCTCTATCCCTGTCTGTCTCTATCTCTGTCTATGTCTCTGTTTCTGCCTCTGTCTCAGTCTCGATCTCAGTTCCTCAGAAGGATACAAATAGTTAAGAACGCAGGTGCTAGCAGAGAGGTTGGCAGTTTGAACCTACTGGGGAAGCCTCAGAAACACGCCTGGTGATCGGCTGCTGGAAAGTCCTGGTCACCAAAGCCGGTGGAGCAGCTCCGCTCTGTGCACACAGGATTGTCATGAGTGGCACTCAATCTGTGTATCACTATAGACTGTGAGCAGGAGTGGACAGGCAGGAGTCTGGTGACAGGTATCAGATATGAGTTCCCCTTTGTCCTCACCGCACCAGCTCAGAAAGGCCTGCATCCCCCCTCCCCACCCTAATGAGAAGCAAAGCACCTTTGGGTTCAGGAGCCAGAGTCTCGTGAGCACACTTCTGGAGTCCTCCACCCGAGAGCTGTGTGACCTTGACCAAGCTAGTTGCCGTCTCCTTGGTCAGCTCATGGTAAAACAAGAATATTAAAAGTGCCCACCTGACAGGGTCGGGGTGGGGATGAAACGAGCCCGTATATGTAACACACATTGAATCGTGACTGGCTGGCAGTAGAGAGCAAACATTCTATCAGAAAATCCAAACTCGCTGCCCTCGAGTCTATCTGGACTCAGAGTGACCGTATAGGGCGGGGTAGAGCTGCCCCTGTGAGTTTCTGAGATTGTAACTCTTTGTATGAGTAGAAAGCCCCGTCTTTCTCCCGAGGAGCAGCTGGTGGTTTCAAACTGCTGACTTTGCGCTTAACTACTATGCTACTATGCTCCTCTGTTATGACATCATCATCATCATCATCATCACCCTCGATCTAGCACTTTGTATGCCCCGGTCTCCTTTTGGCAGGCTGAGCCCTCGTGGGAGGAAGAGCGTCTTAGTATCCAAGCTCAGTCCTCTTAGCCATTCTCCTGAAGACAGGGCACTCTGGGCTCTGGGATAAAGGGGCCGGGCTTCTTCTATGGACACAGCCCCAGCAAACTGTGCCTAAGAAAACAGTGACACCCCAGGGGCTCCAAGACCACACTCCCTTTTGTAAAGCAGGAGAATAATGTGGGCCCACTGGAGGGGGTGCACGTGTGACATCCCTCCCCTGTGCCTCCATCCTCACCCCTGTGCTTGGCAGAGGGTTGCCTGGAGACAGTCTTTCTGCTCTGAAAGAGCTTGTGGTCTCCAATAGTGGCTCCGCCTGAGGGAGAAGGGCATGTGTCTTTTGGGGGAGGCAGGGAGGGGTGAAATCTCTGAGGAGGCTCGTGTCATCTGAACCCACATGTTCCAAAGAGCTCTTCAGTCTTCTGAGACAAGTGGCAGCTGTACAGGGGGTCATGAGCAAGGCCGGTAGGAGGCAGGAGTGGGCACCACTGAGGCCCCAGGAGAGAGTCCTTGCCTCTAGCAGCCTGGTAGACACACGCAGTGGTGGAGCTCCGTGTGGACCAGAGCGCCGAAGATCCAGGCTGTCTCCACGGGGTGATAGTGAGCAGAGCTAAGAATGGGCATCACTGTTCTTCCCCCCGGCTCTTTCTCCTTTCCTTCCTTTGTCCTTGCTTTCCGTCAGGGGGGGCTTGTTGATGGAATGAATGCTTCGTGTCACTGAGGTTGTACAAAAATACATTCATTTATTCCTTCCAAGACTAGTTACTGAAGGACTGGAGATGTGAGTGAATGAAAGTTTCATACCCTTGAGGTGGTGGAAGGTCACCCGTGAGCCCCCACCCCACATTCTTCCTGTCACGAGTCTCTGCCTACTTGACTGCCCTGGCACCACATGCACTCCCTCTCACGGCTCTCCGCTGTCCTGTGTCGGGCCAGATGAGGCTCCTGATCTTGGTGGCCTCTCTACCCACTGTCCAGAAGGCTGTTTGCCCCATTTGTACCTGTCAAAATTCTCTCTTCTGCCAAGGCTGTCAGGCATTTTCAACAAAGCTGTTCCTTACCATCCACACCAGAGTGTGATTCCTCCCGGCTGGACCTCACTTGCATCTTTCGCTGGGGAAACTGGTTCTAGCCAGGTCCACCACCATCACTTAGGCTTGTCTTCCCCACCGCTGAGGCTTTGTGACCATCACAGCAACATTTCATACGTATTTACGCCCCCTAATCTTGCGACTAACACCCTTGCCCACTGCCAGTGAGCTGAGAGCAACTCATAGTGACCCTGTGGGACTGAGTAGAACTGTCCCTTTGCTCAGTGAAGACTGTAAGTCTTTACCACAACAGCTCTCTGCTGAACAGCAGCTAGCAGTCCAAAGAGTAACCCACTACACCATCGGGGTTCCTTCATGACTAAGTTAGTTGTTGTCAGCTGGCACCATCCTCAGCACCATCGATAGGGCGGGGGTCATTCTTGTGGCTGCTGTGACAAATCATCTCACTGACCTACTTTCCAAATGTGAAGCCTTTCCCAACAGGTCGTCTCTTCTGATGGTGGGTCCCAAAATAAGCAAGGCAATGTCTCACCAGCCTCACTTCCAAGGCGCGTTCTGGTTGGACTCCTTCTAAGACTGATTTGTTCTTTCTCCTGGGTCATCTTTGCCACTGGTCTCATGACGAAGATCGACCCATCTGATTTGCAGAGCAGTGAGTGAGTGGGGTAATGTCTCAGACATCAAGGAGGGAAGTTTCTCAAAAGATTTCTATAGACTAAATTCCTTACAATCATATTTGTTCATAACCTTCTTAGTTTAGCTCCATCACCCCTATAATCATAAGCATCTCACAATAGTAAGAATGAACACTAGATGGATGGTAGATAGACGAACACTGTCACGTCAATTCCAACTCAGGACAACATTTTGTACAACAGAAGAAAACACTGCCCAGTCCTGTGTCATCCTCGTGATCACCAGGCACGTCCGAGTCCTCCTGTGTGGCTCTGATACCAATCCATGTCACTGAAGCTCTCCTCCGCCTTCCCTGGCCACCAACCATGATGTCCTCCTCTAGCAACTGATCCCTCCCGATGATGTGTGCAAAGCCAAAGAGTCAGACAACGTCCGGTTGTGACAGGTTTCCAGAAGTAGCTCGCCAGCCTTTCTTCCTACTCTGTCTTACCTTTGAAACTTCACAGAAACGTGTCCACTCTGAGTGACAAGGTATCTGAAATATTAGGGGTACAGCTTCTAGCACCATAGTGTGTTAACGAGTGTGTTGAGCATTTGCATGACCCAGGGACTTCTCTGGCTGCCCAGGTGAAAAGAACGAGTTCTCCTGACTGGTTGGGTGCAGCTTCACAGCACTGGGGCTCATTCTCAAAGGCTGAGTGATGACTCATCAGATGGAGGGGTGGGGTGGG